GGAGTGGGTCCAGAAGAGGGCCACAAAAATGATCAGGGGGATGGAACACCTCTGCTATGGAGAAAGGCTGAGAGGGTTGGGGTTGTTCAGCCTAGAGAAGAGAAGGCTTTGGGGAGACCTTATTGCAGCCTATCAGTACTTAAGGGGGGCTCATAAAAAAGATGGCTGCAAACTTTTTAGCAGGGCCTGTTGCGACAGGACAAGGGGGAATGGCTTTAAACTAAAGGGGGGTAGACTGAGACTAGATAGAAGGAAGAAATGTTTTACGCTGAGGGTGGTGAAGCACTGGCCCAGGTTGCCCAGAGAGGTGGTGGATGCCCCATCCCTGGAAACATTCCAGGTCAGGCTGGACGGGGCTCTGAGCAACCTGATCTAGTTGAAGATGTCCCTGCCCAGGGCAGGGGGGTTGGACTAGATGACCTTTAAAGGTCCCTTCCAACCCAAACTATTCTATGATTCTATGCTGAACACTTTAGTATCTACGTATTTGAAGTTCAGTAATTTGGGCATTACAACATTAAAATTATACAAAAATAACTCTAGAATAAGACTATCCATTCTTTTGCCATAGCAAAAGTTGTTGTCTGGTAGTTGCTTGCTTATACTTCATAATCTAGGGGAAGACAAACTCCCAGTTCATTCGTTTATGTAGATATCTGTCTTATCAATGTAAGTATTTGAGCTGCTTTTGAACTCTACACAACTCATTGATAGCCTGTAATGAGAGCTCGCAGATTATGTGTTTTGTGAGAAATTATCTCGTTATCTGTTTTTAAATTTCTAATAATCCAGGGTGTTCCCTCAATTTATAAAATATTGCAAGAATTCTCATTGGACTTTATGCTGCTAGGTAAATGCAATATATACACCTTATTTCCTAGCACTTCCTTTTTCTCCCCTCCATGACCTTAAATATGATCTGAATTTGGTCAAATTGTGTATAACTGCATTTCATGTAGTATGGTTGCACTTACTTGCATACCGGACACCTCCAAGTTCCTCTTTCACAGTTCAGTTGCAAGTAAGATTCCAGATCAAAGCACTAGGTATCAGAAAGAAACAAAGAAGGGGAAGGAAAAAAAAAAAAAGAGAGAGAAAAAAAAATAAAAGAGGAAATCAAGGGAAAATACTGTATTAACTGAATCAGTTGGACAAAAGTAAAACTGCCATGAAAAAAAGCCTACTAGCACTAAAAACTAAACAAATAGCTTACTTTCTCCCTCCACGTTAAACATATATATATATTAGTTAATTATTTAGGTTGATAAACACAAAGAAATCCCATTTCATTAGGCTCTCTCATATGATAACCAAGCTAAAGGTACTGTAACAACACATGGCTGAGGGAATACTGCCAGGCCACTGGCATCTACTCACTTGCACATGCTTGCAATCATGACCCCTTGCTGGGAGCTGAATCCGCCGGAATGTGATCGGACACTTCAGAGACACTTTAATAGCAGTTTGCTCTACTCCATCTTCGCCATTTAGTGTCGCGTTGCCAGAGGAAGCTGCTACGCTACTGAAGTTCCTCTTTACTGTTCAGGAAAAAGGTATGTGTATGTGTGAGAAAACACAAGCGCACTGTAAATTCTAACGTAGAAATCTGAAAGACCAACACTTCAACCTTTAAGGGCTAATTTAATGGACAATTTATCCACATAGGTGTATTCTGTGTAATTTATAACATTCTCCTGAACAGACAAACCATCACACACATGCGTATCAGCTATACCCTCAATCAAATAAAGTGCCATACAAGCACTTAAAAGCAGCCCTAAATAAAGAAAGAATAATCTTTCTACACGGGGCTTGTAGGTAAGTTAAAAACAAATATAGGGGAAAAGCCAGAGAAATTCTCCTGGAATGGGAGAGTCCTCGCTGGGAACTACGCTTGTGTCCTTGGTACTTTGTTACCCCCACCCAAATAGCCCTCAACATTTGAGGATACCAAGGATTTAATCTACGCACAGGATGTTCTGGAAAATCCTGACAAGTACAGCTTAAGGTTTTCAATAAGCAAGTAAACCTTGTGTAGAAATAGCTTATCGCAACTGAACATAGGCATTCTGGAAAGTCATCACCCACACAAAATGAAAACTCACTCTTAGTGATACAATGTTCTGCTGGGAGGAGGCGTTTCTTTAGTAGACCTTGAAGTACGGAGCGAACTGATGGCCGGTGTACTAACTGCAACACGAACAAGTGTGACTGAAAGAAAACGCATTTTGTTACCAAGAGAACCAAACACGCACGGTAAATACACTGCTGAACAGAGCTGCATTCTTCCCTTGGACACGTGGCTTCCGTAAGAGCCTGATGCTTAAATACGAAAGCTGGTTCTGCTCTACTGCGCACATGCGCTCCCTTAGGGATATTCTGCACGCCGCGCAGTGTGTTGTTCTGTGCTCCAGAAGCATAACGTACACAAGGGCTTTTAAAAAAAGCGAAGATTTTTCTGCATTTTCTCCCTCCTTAATATTCAGAATACATAGGGCTGACGTATTTATCTCTGACACAGGGCTTTATTTTTAAAACCCTGGATTCTTTGACACAGTCTAGCCTACCTGCCTGCCCTCAGACTACGCTGGAAGTTGCAAAACCGATTTGCTACTGATGTGTCTGGAACCAACCGAATCTTCTTCCCCACCACAGAACTCGTTGTGGATTCACAGGATGCTGCCCCTGCTCTTAGCCACCAGATAAATCACATTATGCAGAGAAACATCAGTGTGAAGTAAAGCAAAACAGGTGGGTGGCTTCTTGTCAAAGTGCCTTACACTGCGACCTTGGGAGAGGTAGCAGCTTGCCTTCTTGTCAGTGACAACAGAACAGTCAAAAGCTCAGACTGTATGTGTGCAACAGTCTGCATTAAAAATACAGTACTCGTCCCCAAGAGTAACTAAACCATGGAAAAGGAGAAAGGGGAAAGTTGCATGGTCTAGACTGCATCACGGAATAGGAGTTTTTCATCTGAAAAGCTATTTGAAAAATCATCACCACACCAATGATTATGGTGTTGATGTTGTCATGTCAACCCAAACACAGTTTAATACCCTAAGTAAATGAAATTAGTACTGGACAACAGTCTACATCACAATAATCTAGTTATACATTAATATACTTTAGCCGCCTTGTTACACAGGCACACGCTAAATAGGCAGGAGATCAAACTCCCTTCCTCCCCTAGACCACAAGCCTTTCCAGAGACATCGAAAGGACACCACTACATTCTGCAATAATTCAGCAGCAAAAATTTCCATATTAGCACTCTGACTGTGTCAACATCATCAAACAAGCACCTCACCAGAAAAATGCATGGGAAAAAATGAGAGTAAAGCTTTCAGCTAAGGCAACATTTGCAAACTGTACTGAATAGCAAACTCAGCATCAGCAGCTGCAGCCGTGAGCTCAGCGTACTTACACAACAACACGCTGTGACTGTAATTTGAATCGTGTTTCTTCCTGGCTGGCAGACGTGCTTTAGGTGCAGAGGTTTATGAGATGTCTTGTTGTCGCCACGTTCGATGGTAAGTGGGGTTGCATTAACGCTGACCTGGACTGAAGCTGGCCAGTTTGTGTTCATTTGTCTGTCTTCATGGTGATAGCACTTGAACTGTAATTCCAAGTCAGACCTGTACAACAACCAATAAATCTTCCTTTAACTTTGCTTTCACATTGCAGAGGGAGGTCGTTTTGATGCTAGGAATGCTTTTTCTTTACCAGTCAGATTATTTTTCTAGAATTATTGCCAGTAAAGAATATAACATACTTTCTTCATAAAAGCCCTTAACAGAAGCAAGTCATGATGAATTAATGATGCAAGCATGCCACAAAGTTGTTGTTAATATTTTACACTTATAAAGGACTTTCCAAGGGAAGATCTCAAACCACTTTGCAAAACTAGATCATGGAATGATCCTGCAGAAAGAAAAATGTTAACATCAGGTAGGTCCTTCCTGTGTGTTAAGAGTTAAGAACAAGAAAGTGATACGCTGCAGTGGGTTGTGCTGGAAGACTGTGGATTCTTCACTACTTCAGAGCACTTAAAAGAGCGTTTGAATGAACACTTGTCAGACAAAATACAGGTAACAGCTAATCCTGCCTTGGAACAGGTACGTCAACTAAGATAAAATGACCCCTCTATCTCACCCCCTGTGTTTCTGCGATTCCAAATTAACACAGCTGTGGATTAAATCTACCCAATCTAGACCTTCTTTCAGAGCATGAATTCCTCCCACCTCTCCAATAATAACTTCCACACACTATTTAGCTCCTCAAAAATTAGTTTTATAACACCTCCAAAAAAGGAAGAGGCTGAGATTAAGTTAATCACAAATTAAGTGGGTAGAGACTTTGACTTCAGTCTCATACACGGATGTTAACCTTGTGTTAGAAATGAGTAATTTGAAGAAGAATTTAAAAGAACATGAAGAACTGAACTGAAATGTCAGGATTCTGCTGTTCATGACAGCAAAAGACAGCTGAATGTTTATCTTTTATGCTTGAAAACCTAGGTGCTCATTTCTTCATCTTGCCTGAAGGAAGATATCTGTGTAAGATCCATGAGGAACAGCTCATTCAGGAGATCATCACCTTAACTGCCATTTTCCTTATCCAAAACCAGAGATTTCAATTCTGACTTAACATTGTCTTTTCTGGATTTTGAAACATCAAGATTTAGCACTGGATAAAAACGTGTGTTTTTTTTTTAAAACGAAAGGTACAGAATACAAATTACCTGACCTTTCAACATAATCCGTCTATATTAAGTCTTTACAGGCTTCTTTTCAATATTTTATTAACAATTTTTTGACACCTCTCTCTGCAAGATCCGCTGGAGATTCTCGCCTCACGAGAACACACCGCAGTCACCCAAAGCCAGAGGGAAGCACAACTTGGTACCTCCGATACAAAAACCAAGCAGATTAAGCGTGTTCCCGAGGACTCTGAGCAGGCCTGCTGAACGTCACAGAGCAGTGACAGAGCTCAGGAGACCCTCATGTTCTCAGCATGCAGTGTCTCCGCTGTGGGACGCTATTAATAACTGAGCAGTGCTAAGACTGAACCAGCTTCAAGGAGACATTTTCCCTGCCTTCAACCTTTGTTTCTCATAACCATGAAAAGTTCCCAGCAGGGAGAAAAACAGTTGCATTGCTATTCATTATGTGTGTACACGTGAGAGGTTTTGCCGAATATTTTAACTGGCAGACAAATATTAAGAATTGGCTCGATTCCACCATTCTCTATAAAACTGAAATCCATCCACACATGTGACTAATTCATTCTTCTGGAATCCATCCAGCCCCGAGTTAAATGTGAAATGACTTCATTACAGGACCATCCGTTCCCCCCACTATTAACAAGCTTTTCAAAACAGCAGACCTGAGCACAGTTTACCTATGAGTCTTCATTAAAATAAGTTTAAATAAAGGCTATGTGTTTGGTGAGCTAAGGAAGAAAGAAGGAAAGAACAGATATTAAGAAACAGCCTCATGCCTCAGTGCAGCACTATAAATCTACTGAATGAGCCAGCACAATCCCCAGTAGTGATTACTTATTAATAAGAACCGGCAAATAACTGCCAAAACTCCCTCTGCTGCGAGTACTCCACGATAATGAAATGCAAGTAAGCAATAACTGACCTCAAAGTTAGGTGTTAATTATTGGATGTGGTCTGCCTTCCAACCCCCAGGCTACCTCAGGGTAGGGGGGCACCGTGGCAGCAAGGACTCCTGCATCCCGCATCAAGCCTCAGCTTTAGAGCCAGAGTCTGTCCCTGAGGCAGGGAACTGAGCGCACCTCTCTGCCCACCTCACGCCCTCCACACCGTGAAAATAGAAGTCTCAAGTGGATTCCAGTCAACGGGAAGAAGATCCTCACAGGGAAAAAAGCCGAAGCTACAAGTTATCATTCCCATTAAGGTCAAGGGGTATGTGGTCCAGGCTCAGGAAGAAACTGAAAGCGAGGCAGGCGTAATGGAAAATGTGCTTAAAATGCTGCATTTTACCACTTCAGCTGCTACACCTGTGAAACAACCTCCGTACAAGATCCTGAGCAACTAACCAGCCTCCACAGTGCACAGAGACAGGCTCAAACAATGTAATCAGCAGCGGGGATAAACACGGAGATGCTTTCTGAGAAAAACAGAACAAGGAGACAAAATGATTCCATGCTATTTGAAAATACACAAATAAAAAAAATTAAGGCTCTGATTGTCATGCAATCTAAAGCCCTTCCACATGAGCATGGTGGAATCAGGACATAACCTGGAATCACTTATACAGATCTACATTAAATGCAGGAAAGTACCACCTAGGAAAACTACTCCTCTGTGCTAGAAAGTAGCACTTGCTGTAAGTGAAAACCAAAAGCCTTTGTACGTGGAAAGCTACGTTCTGATATTTCTGACCACGGAGTCATAGGAGAGGAGGAATTTAGGAAGTTAGTTTCTAAAGTTTGGAGGATTTAAGCACTTGTCTTTCCAAATGATTTTACCAAGCCTCTAAACAAGGCCCTTCATTAGCATGTCATTTTTCATTATCAGATACTCTCCACCATTTAAGCATCAACTGTAACAGCCCTGCATATTTACTCCTGCAACTAACATTTCACAGGCCACAAAACACCTAGGACTTCAGAGTCTCCCAAATGGAAGTTTGTACTGGTGTCGGTCGTGCACGTCCCACACCCGTTCCACCCAGAGCAGAAAGAATGGGACAGTTGCAGTGATTTTTCAAACGCTGCATGCCATATGCTATCAGCAAGGAGAAGCAACACAGATCAGGAAGCATTTTAGAAGGTGTTGTCTCTGGAAAGTGACAGGTGAGAGTGTCAGTGAGTTTAAAGGCCTTTTTTCCTACCTAGGCCACAATTTTAAAAGTGAAATTCATGGGAAACCTAAATGAAGTTCATCTGGCCTGCCACTCCTCCATCACTGGGCGCAAGACTTCCTCGCAGCAAGGCTGAGCTTACCTCCACATCAGCGTCTGATGAACAGTTGGCCGTAAGTGAAAGACATGGTTACTGACTGCCAGGTTGTGTTCCAGCCGGAAGGGCTCCAGTACAACACCATCTCTCACGGGAAACGTCAGACGCAGCTCATCATTGTGGTTGGCTGGGATCGAAGAGGGAGAGAAAGCGTGAACTTTCCCTTTAGCATCTGCAGTGCAACAATAATGTGTATATTTATACAGAATAGTAACAAACGGCACAGTGATCTGCTACTGGGTCTAACTTAGCAGGTTCACACACACACAGAAGAAAATCACTGGTATTCAATTACTATCTGATCTCATAAAACGAGGTTTTGTGGTATCTTACAGCTAATCTATGAAGTTCAAATGTCTTTAAATGCTGTGTTCTTGCCCAAATAATACTGCAGGCCACCTTCTTCTACTTCATTTTTCAGCTATCCTGAACTCCAAACACCAGTTGCAAAGTGCTAATGCAGCAGCAGTTACTTTACAGTATATAAATATAAATAAGTATATAAATATAAAGGTTCTCCCAGGTCCCTAGAGTAAATGATATCTCCCATTGTTCATCAGTCACTTCAAAACCTCAAATATCTTGTGCTAGCGTACAGCCAGAGAGATCTTGTTATTCTTGCCCTGTTCCCAGCCAAATGTAGCTGTGACGTTGAGTGGCTTTGAAAGGAACATGTATCAATTTTTGGCATACTACTGAAAATTCTTAAGCAGCCTGTATGGATCACAATAGAGACACCACTATAAATATTCACATTTCCCACTATTCTGCAGTGATGTTCAATGAATGGCTTTGCCCTTGAACAAAACAGACCGCAATGAAAGTTCATACAATAAACAAGCCTACCAAGCACACATAACGCAACCCAAGATCAAGTGTTTTATCTTCAGGAAGTGTATCAAAGGAAAACTTCAGGAGTAAAATCCTTACAAGTTTAACCTGGAAGAACTTTTCTGATTCTCTATTTTAGGAGGGGATAGCCATCTTTCTCTTTCCTGTCCACTGGCTCTAGTGAGCCTGCACCGTGCATGTCACCTATCACAGCTTAGCAATCTGAGCCTCTCCCTGAGCAGCAATCAGAGCTAGTTTCCAGACTCTGAAATGTATGTGGCAGAGAACAGAGGGACAATAAATGACTGTGGGGGCATTCTGTTTGCTACTCACTTGGAGGTGGTGGTAAAGCATTGATATTTGGTTTAATGTCAGGTGGGAATGGTGGTTTGACATCCTGGTTAGGTGACAGGTATGGAGGAATATTGCTCCCTGGAGTCATAGGTGGCGTGGGGTTTCCTGGAACAGGTGAATGAGGGTAATTTGCCACAGGTACAGGCCTTGATGGCTAGAAAATAAATAACATCACATTGTTACTGCAGTCTGAAAAGAAGAATAATAAGCTTTGTGAACTGTACTGCTATCGAACACCAAAGACTACAAACAAGGTAGAGAGGCCCCTCTGTCTCCGGAAGGACAAGAAACCACAGGGCATCTCATGAGGCCTTCGGGGAAGAGGCAGACTAGGAGAGCAAAGCAGGAACTGAAACCAGCAGACCAGCCAGCTTAATTCAGGCAATGACCAGATACAAGCAAAGCTGCCAAGAGGCTTATCGCGTTCCTCTGAATGCTCTTTCCAAAACCAACTAGCCATTCACTTCAGTTTTTCCATACCACCCCAACCCACCCAGCCCTTTGTATCTCTTTGGCTTCCTCCCAAAATAGCCCCAGTGCACAAAAGCCTACATGAAAAACAAAATCCTAAGACACGCAATTAGAATGTCTGTGTCCCTTTTACTTCCATCTATCCTTTCTTCCACCCCTGTCCAACTCATCTACTTGGAGTGAAAGCTCTGGGGGTCAGGGGATGTCTTTTATTCCGTGTACCTACAATTTGATTCTGTTCTTAGTTTGCTGCTGAATAAGACAAACTAAGACAAAAAGGATAGTTCAGTATAAATGGTAGCTATAGTATTAAAACACCATTGGTTTTGTTTCTTGTGGTTAAGGAGATGGCTGCAGTAAACAGAATAAACCAGTAACGATGATGTGAAGGAAGCTGACATTAAACAAAACTGCAATTGCATGGTACTCTCTTGTAATAGCTCGTGTACCATAAGCACAGAAACATGAGAGTGTCAGAAGATGAAAATCTTTAGACAGCCAAAGTATCAGGACTTCAAATCTGGTTCCCTATCTAAATGCTGCGCTGCTAGCCTAGGATACTCTAAAGTACATAAGAGAGCTGCATTCTGGAATCTTAAGCATTTACATTTCCAACCATCTTTGCTTTTTTCTTTAACACATACAGTTACTATCTCCACAATCACTACAATCCAAAGGTTCAGGTCCTGTCTGTGGCAAGCTGGAATTTTTCCCCTAGCCAGGATAATCTCCCTTAACAAGGTCTCTTATTTTCTAACTGTTTCCAGAACAGTCGATATTTGAATACAAAATAGGGGATGCATTGGAAAGACCACAGATTCCATGTTAGAACTATCCTGTAAACAAAGAACTTAAACCCCATCTAAAATAAACACATGTAAAATGTATTAAAGAAAATCTGTCACTTAAAAACTTCACAGAGATCTTCTGCTGTTATTTTAGCATAAGTGACTGCACTGGAATTACAGTAGTTGAGGATCTGTCTCCTCCTCGTGTTCTTCCTCGCAGTGTACTGCAAAAGCTGCCAGGATGCAACAGGCATTCCTCTGGGTACCACAGTGGACAGCTTGGTTGCACGTAGAACAGATGCTCTATAGTAAAGGGTTTTGGGTTTTTTCCCCCTCTTTTTTTAGTGGTGTTTTCTGTGTGAATCACACTGGAACAATTCTAGTTCAAGACCAACGTGCATCTTAAGATTCTTTCAGCCTACATTCAAAATCAGAATGTAGTCCAGAGACTTCAACAGCTAATGCTTTAAAAGCAGGTCAGACCATCGATGGTCCTCCCCATTTTTATACTCAACTGGAGTACCTGTGTGCAAAAAATGGCTTTTGTGCACACTTCAAAGGCATCAACCCTCAGCAGGCCCTCAGTACAAACTCAGTTTGGATAATACTAAGTGCTCGAGATGTATCCATAAAACAGGTTTTAGGCAACATTTCAACAATTCTAATTCTTGCCCAAAACAAGCAACACAGAGGGAAAAGAAGGAGAAAAGGGGAGGGAGAGGTCGGAGAAAGTCACGCAAACTTCCGTTCAAAGATGAATTCTACAGCTGGAACAGCTTTTATGTTTGGGCTGGCTTAATCCAACAGTGACCACTGTAGGTCTGAAACTGGGATGCTGCAATGTGGAACTTGTTTATTACAAATTTCCAAAGTTGTATTCTTGCAGAGTGCCATGAATAGGTGAAAATATTGCACCTGAATCCCATTAGGTACTACTTTTCACATGCTCTGTTTAAAGCGAAACCAACATTTTCTTATAAAAGCCTCTAATGAGCTGCAGTAAAATTCAGTTTTCTTTATGAACTGCTCTGAAGTTACAATGCAACTTGGCTGATTGACTTGATTCTGTGATATCCAAAACATTAGTAAAAAACGCTGTGCTCTTTTCTCTCTTTCCTTTAACTACGTAAAAGCAGTAGCTATGAAGTCATTAATGTGACTTCATTCATAAACGCCTACCAGAACGCAACAAGATAATCTAAAAATTCTTACCTTGTAATACTGCCCCATGTTGACCGTTGGAGGAGGGTACTGCCCTGTGTTTTGCTGGCTTGGCATCCTCTGTCCAGGATAGTTGGGAGACGTAAGGGGTCTTGGAGGGTTGGGAGTGGGGTACTGACCAGGCTGATTTGGAAACTGGCTATTTGGTCCATACTGCTGGTTTCCATAATTCGGCTATTTCATGACAGAGATGAAAGAAGACAAAGATCTGTTTCATGCAAGCAGCTGTCTTGAACTGATTATTAGCATACATTCAATAGTGGAATCAAAAAACCAAAAAAAAACTCTCCAGGTGAATACTCCTCAACTTAGTGCCACTCACGCCTAAACCAGGGCCCTGATGGCTGGAGGTTAATACTCACTCCGAAGTACAGAAGTCCTGCAAACCAAAGTGGGATAAGAATAACCATGTTCCTTAACACACACATACACTCAGCCTTGCAGCGCTGTCAAAGGGCACCGTGTTTGAAGAAACCAGAATTACAAGCAGATGCAATGTTCATAAAATCTCTGTGTTTTCGCAAACGCTACCAGCCCCATCCCTGGGGCTCCTTTTCCAAATGGAGAATGAAAGCACAAAAGAAAAAGTAACATTAAAAAAAATAATCCTGGACTGGGCAGAGAATAGAAGCTGTGCTGTCCATGTCTGTCTTCTCAACACAACTGCTATGCCGGCCCTGTGCTAGAGTGTTTACCAATACCCTAACAACTAAACAGAAGCTATTACTAGTTATAAACACCTTGCTAGTGCTAGCTAGTACTGCGCTGCAGTTTTGGAATCAAAGTCATGAAAACCAGAACTTAAAAGGTAATAAAACGTCAATTTGAAAAATTAATTGATTAATAAGAAGTTTCCATAAATGAATTGATGACACCAAGTTGGGCGGGAGCGTTGATCTGCTTGAGGGTAGGAAGGCTCTGCAGAGGGACCTGGACAGGCTGGATCGATGGGCCGAGGCCAACTGTATGAGGCTCAACAAGGCCAAGTGCCGGGTCCTGCACTCCGGCCACAACAACCCCATG